CTGAGCCAAGTAACGCCCTAGCTAGCTAAGCTAGTTCATGTGGTGTTCCAAACTATACAGTGCAGTTTGTGGTTATTGGAGTTTTTAAAAATTTACTAATATTAACGTTTGTGTATCTAATGAACTTTGAGTTGATTGGGATCCTTATGTGAGCTAAAATCGACGAGATTATGGGGTCCTAAACTTGAATAATTGTACAAAACCCTATGTATCTATAGGATTTTGTTACCCAATTTTTGGCCAAAAGGGGTGTTATAAACGTGCTGCAACGGATCGGAAAATCGCTGGAATCGACAAAGCAAGAATACGAAAGCGAGAATCGAAAACACGACGCATGATTTACGTGATTCACTAACACAATGTGTGTTAGATAGTACACGGGCGAGAGAGAGCCAGTTTCACACATCGAGGAGATTAAAGATTACAGAGAAGTACGAGAAGTATTTATAGTACTTCTCCATGTGCGTCTAAACCTAATCCAATCTGGCAAAGAAAACGGTTACAGGCAGACCCAGAACCTGAACCCAAATAACATTGAACCCATACACCGCGGGCCTAGGCGTTGCCTCTGGACCCCACTGACTGACCGAGTAGCGAGACCCCCGACTATTCTAGTCGTAGCGGCTGATTCCAGTCGTAGCGAGACCCCCGACTACTTCCTAGGACCCGTATCCTTGACACTTCTCTCCGCCACTGATGTAGGGTGCACTCCCTAGCTAATTAAGCTAAGACATTTCCATTACGTTTGGGTCTCACGAGGCACTGATCTAACGTATGTTTAGAATATTAAGCAAGGAGGGATCCATTATGTCATAACTTATCTAACTAGTAAATATTCAGTTGACCGAGATCATTCTTGACAGATAAGGAAATTAATTACGGGTACGCTCACAATTAATAGATTATAGGTAAAACATCTCAAGTTAGCTTTCAAGACCTTGATGAAGCGGCCTAACCTTTACAAGATACTACAGTTGAATATCATCAGCAAGAAAGAGTGGAAGACGAATCTATTGGTGTTATTATTGATCCATCCCGATAAATGCACCATATCCTTGTACAAGATGTTATTCCCAGTAAATAAGTACTCGTGCTTTCTCTTTCTTCTTTCCTCGATCTTCTTAATTGACTTTGGAGGAGCACTGGAGCAGTGATGTCTAAAGTTGCAACTTTGTGAAGGAAAAGAAACCATAAACAAAGTGATCTAATCGAAAGAAAGCAACTGCTCACATATGCAAACATGATAAACAAAACCACCACCAATATTATTGATTGTACGTCCAATATTTATTTAAATAACGCTTAATTCCCATTTTTTTCGTTTTGGATAACAATTTTGAAATAAAAAGGGATAAGCCAATGAAAGAAAAGGAGGAGCCATTCAAGAAAAGAACAAAGCAATACACAATAATGTTCTTTTGGAAACAAGCTAGAAGATCATGATCATGAGTAGGAGCTTAGGAATAAATGATTATTATGTTTAAATTGGAGAATGGGTTTGTGGGTATTAATTTGGGAAAATATGAATTTAATTTGTTTATTTTTGTTTGAAAGTGATTGGTGGGTCTCTAAGTTATGATTGGAAAATAGAATATGATAATGGGGGGAGTCATCTACAGATAACATATATATTGCAATAGAATGGAAACCAGGGTTGGCTACTGGTCCTTTTCATACTAGGGTGGTGGTTACCCAAAATATATAAAAATGTATAAGATCAGCAATCAATTAATTGTCACTTATAAATACAGGGTGGTTAGCTTAGTTTATTAGTTAGTTATTTTTCTCATCCAATTTTATTATTTTCTAGTTATGTATTAATATTGGGGGTACACACCCAAAGTGTGTCGTACAAAAGATAATTAATAGCGCGAAATGATAATCGGACTGTACAATGAAGTGAGAACTTAGGACTTGGGTAATTTCCAAGAATTCAAACAATGAGTTAAAAGATTTCTCTCGCCAATACATATGGAAAATTCTAACAAATCAATCTCATTGGAAAAGGCTATCTGAACTATAAAATATGTTCCAGTTATTAATGCAATTTGTGTAAGCTTCCCAAAATCATTTCTTTGGTGGAACGTAACAGATCCAAATCAATTTCCTAGTCATGAGTTTTCATTTCTTAATCGAAGAAAAAAATGAATAAATTTATCATTGTCCATTTTCTGGGCACTTAAGTTTGGGCTGGTTGCGAAGGTCCTTTTACAGAAGACAAGATAAACGGTAACTATTATGATTGCCGATTTAATTATGACGACAAATTATTTGCAAGCACATGACTTTTATGTAATGTACCTTTTTATAAACAACATTATTCTCATTTCCCAATGACGACAGTGAAATTTGACACATTTTTGGATAAAATTTGAGTTATTATAGCTAATTATTAATTAATACAAAATTTTTTAGAGTTGTTATAGCTAATTATAATGGCGGAAAAAGGAAAACACCTGAAACTGAGCTTTGCAGAAGCCCTTGGCAAAATTGGCTGAGTCGTTGAGTGAAATTTGGGCTGTAGCTAGCTAGCTGGCTGCAGCTGCACGTGTGCATATATATACATGTAGTTTGATCTTCTCTCTCAACAACAAAAATCAATCATGGTTGGTTTGGTTTGTTGAGCTCAAGAGTGGGAGCGCAGAAGGTCTGAAAAAGGAAATGAAATTAAGATGGATATGGATATGGATATGGAGAGAAACAGCTAAAATTTGGGGACCAGATAGTAACTGTGTTCCCCTTCCTTTTCCCTATTCAGCAGTAGGGTTTAGGATGAGTTTAGGTGGGATTTCAAGCATGTAATTAAGAGTTGGTTAATAATAACTTCAATTGTTTAACATATTCGTCATAGGTGTGAACGATCATGTGGTAAATGTATCGACATTGGATTAGCATATATCTTATTCAAATCTCGTAGTCGTTATTGTGAAGAATATCATCTTTGTGAAGAGTATCAATAGGAATATATGTTTTGAACCACTCGCCACTGGAATTTAGCAGGACGTAGCATCTATTGTGTCCCTCGGTATTAAAAAATACATTGTTTCCTTTCTTTTCCTATTATGTATTAGGATTTATGATCCGTTATCCTTTTTAAGCATTTAAGATTTGTACAAGTAATAACTTTTATTGACTAAGTTTTTTTCCTTGTGTGTAACCTCGATAATAAAGCTATTGCATTCAGTCGAAGAAAGAATATATGTTGATTCAAATCTCGGCGTCATTGAGAAATAAAATGTATCAAAAGTACCAATAAGATTATGTGTCTTAATTATTTGCTATTAGGATTGGAGCGAAGGTCATAAAAAGGAGGGTTTATCTTAGCTTGCTGCGACAAGAGTCTCTACTAATTAAATTGTAAGAAAAGGGTTATTGTTATTGTTGTTGATGCTGTGTTGAAACCATCTCGTTTCTTTTTTTTTTAATTCATCTAGATGCTCTTATTAATGAATACAATCAATTAGTGTTTAAACCATGTCCTAAACCCAAAATAAAAAAACCCATAAAGAATGTGAAAAGAAAAAGGAAAAGGCTTTAAATTAGAAAAGTAATAGGTAAGAGATATGGTGTTGTAATTGTTCCCAACAAGCCTGCAGTATTGGGATGAAACGAAACGAAACGAAACGAAACAAAACAAATCTCCACAGTATTAACCAACAGAGCTACAAACAAAACCCCAAGAGAAAACAAAACAGAAAGGGACTTGCTGCATAACAACAACAACTTGAAATGAATTTAAAATGATCTAGCTATCAAAATGGATTAGTTAATTAAGATAAACACTGAATTGTCAATTCCATCCTCAGCTAGCCTACACTGAAACTATTATGATATATATGATCTTTGGTGGAGATTGGAAGAAAGATCTTCCATCTTCCAATTTGTTTACTATTTGTAAAAAAAAATCCAATTTGTTTACTGCTATGAGTAATATATTTTTTAAACATTGGTTTTGACAATTACTGCACCCAGCATCATACCGGTTGGTTTATCTCGAAAAATTGTCTACCTCTAGTTAAACCGATATATGTGATGCACATATATTATTAAAGTTTTACGCTAACAAAAACGTTACAAAATTAAATTGTTTGTATAAATGGATGTGTGAATGAAATATAACATTAGTCATGTCCAGGTATAGACTTGGTGAAGTGATGTACGCTAATTACTAATTAGAATAATTTCATTATCTGAACTGAACTACGTACCTTAACAAAATGAGTTGTGTTTTTATTATAACAATTTATCAAACTGAATAATCCAAATTGTTGATGATGATGTACCCGATTTGAACTGGCATCTGTAACTTATTACTTTGTTTAAATCTGCCTTTGTTTTTATCTTTTGTGGGATTAAGAATGAATCCGGCTTCTAAGAAAGATACGATACTACATAATTAAATTTAATTAACAAGAAAATGGTACATGTTTGTCGGAGTCGGAGATTGAGAAAAATCTTCTGTCTGTATTCACTCAGAATTAAGCATGCCAAGAACAAATCATAGCGGAGCGAACAATTATAGACTAATTATTCATTAAAAAAATGTTAACTAATTACCACCAAACCTGTGTGTCAATTTGCACAAGATTTTGTCAAAATGTAGCTGGGAGAGTCTCGAATCTGTAAACATAATTATAGACATTTTGTAATTTTCACACAAGTAATTCTATGACAGTCGAGGGAATCAAAATGACAAAATCCAACATCCTAACATCATCATAAACCATTAAAATTTCGTCGTTGAATTGTAGAGGGTGCAGTCTAACCGTCTTAAACGTAAGCTGATTCCTGGGTAGCTATTGGTAAATCCCTTTAATTAATTTTTTCTATTTTCTATTTTTTTAAGAGAGAAATTCCCGCCCCAAATCATTTATGATTTATGTACCATATTGGAAGAATATTAATTTAGAGATCATAATCACAATTAAGGAAATATATAGAATTAACAAATAAGGATAACTAAAAAAAAGGAATAGGGGGAGAAAAAAAAAAAAGAGAGGCTATAGTACTGTGGAAGAGGCAGCGGCGCTAGTGACAACGTTAGTCGCCCTTCCAGAACCAGCGGCGGCGCTGCCGGAACTAGCACCAACTCTACTACTACTACTACTATTGTCCCCACCACCACCGCCAGCTGGCAGAGAAGAAGAGTCATCTCCCGACGGCCGCTGCGGCGGCGGCTGCACGGTCTGAGTAGCGGCCACCGACACATTTGCAGCAGTGGGAAGGGCGGCAGGTCGTTTTCGCTTCTTCTTCTCATAAGGGATCCCGCGAGCTTTGGCCTGGGCTTCCCTGACCTCCCTCAGGTAGATCCGGACGGCCCGGGCCGCGAAGGGGTTGGACTCGGGCCGGCCCCCGTTCTCCTCGTAGGCGGCCCGGAGGCGGCCGATGAGGGCGTCGAGGCTGCCCCAGGCCTGCTTGAGCGGGCAGGCGCAAGGGGCCGGCGGGCTCGGGTGGCCGAAGTAAGGGCAGCCCGCGGCGTGGACTTTGGTCTTCCCGAACTGGTCCAGGTACTTGAGGAACTCGATGACGTGGGCCCCGCTGCACCGCCCCAGCGCCAACGGCGGCTTGTGGTTCTTCAGGTACTGCAGGAACGTGTTCCAGTCCCGCCTCTTCTGCGACTCGTACCGGCTCGGCGGCGCGACGTGGTACGACGTCGTCGTTGGTGTAGCGGACGGTCCTACTTCTCCTCCTCCCCCTCCCCCGGTCGACGGAGAAGGATCCGGGTCGCCGCCGGTTGTACTGTCGGGAGGAGCTGCTGACGTGGGTTCCATGTGGCAGGCAAGCTGTGGAGTACTGATCTGAGAGCTAGTCCGACTGAAGTGGAAGCTAGGGGGGTTTATATTTAATTTTAAGTAGAAAGCAAGATCAGTAGTTGTGGGATCGTTTCACGGGAGAGGAAGGAGAGGTTCCTTTTCTCCTTACTTCTTCTTCTTCTTCTTCTTCTTCTACTACCACTACTAAGAGTTGAATTTTCTTTCTTTCATTCGTGAGGTGGAGGAAGGAAGAAGAAGGAGGAGGAGGAGGGAAGAAACAGAGAGAGAGAGAGAGAGGAAGGGGGGAAATGGAGGGTTTGATTGATGGGACGTAAAAGAGAAGTAATGGATGAATGATATTGACATATGATATGCCCACCAACACCAATACATAATAATATATGTATATGAAGTTATGAATAATTTTTGGTGGGGAAATGCAAACATATAATTATATGTGTAGTGTACGAAGCAGGAACCCTGCCTTTTGTTCATACGTGTGATGTGAGTGAGGCCCTGTGACCAACTTTTGTGGAGTACCACTGCTTTGTTTGTATATGCGGGACAATCTGATGCTCCTCTAGTAGCTATATATTATCTTTAATTTGTTGGACTAAGCTATTCATGATATATATATATATATATAGTAATGAAAGTCACTGATTTTCATTATCTTTTGATTCATTGAGCTCTATATCAATCATAAATTTTCGGTTAAATACACTTGTATATCCAAAACTTTCACGGTTGTGTCAATAATATCCAAATTTCTCGAACTACCACTTATATCCAATTCTTTCACATTCTTTAACGGTGTTTTTGGATATACAAGTGTATTTAACCAAAAATATATTGGGAAATGGATAGATTTGGCAAAGAACAACTTTAAAACATGGATATAAGTGGTATTCCGGAAATTTTGGATATTATTGGCACAACCGTGAAATTTTTGGATATACAAGTGTATTAAACCTAAATTTTCCTTTGATTATGATCGAAATTCTACTCTTATATTGATAGAGCTTTCTCCCAGGTGTGAGATTTAACTTCAATCCGCTTTATTCGTTTATTCAGCTATGCAACTTTGATAACTACGTGTACCAGTTCTGTGCTTGTATCAAGAGGTATTAGAGTCCGGTTCAACACAGTGGCGAAAACGATGGCGAGAGGATCTCGTCCACGTTGCAGAGGAGGATTCTTTGTTAGAGGAAGAAATCCAATCCGATGAACAAGCAATGACAGAACAGCAGGTTAATATTTCAGAACTATTGCAGTCTATCATGGCGCAATTGAACGCAACCTTCAAAGTTCAATTCGACCAGTCAACCAGCGGCTGGATGCCCTTTCGCTGCAAGTAGGAATCCATCCGATTCCTGAGAAAAATCGACATCCGAGCATTCCAATTGAAACCATCCGAGCCCTAGATGTAAGGATTCACAACTTATCGCAGAGACTGACCACAACAGAGCCTGAACAAGCGCGTCAAGCTTACGATTTTCGTGATTACGGTGGAAGACCACCAGAGGCAGGACGTGAAGGTACCATTGCTGAATTACGAGGGATCAAGCTTTCAGTTTATTCGTTTCAAGGATCTCTCAATGCTTCTGCATATATAGATTGGGGGAGTAAGATAATTATGTTCTTCCAATGTGGCAATTACAGCAAACAATATAAAGAGAAGCCAACTGGGAAGAGAATTGATTCTAATTCTGAAGATGATGTTAATGAGCACATCACATCACTGCTGAAATTCCTTGAAAGGGTAAGTTTCTTGGAGCAATCCTATTAAACTCGAGTTTTGTGGCAGATTTTGAAGAATATTGATTTTTATATTGGTTAATTGAGCTTTAGGCTTGTGTATTTTCTCTGTATCAATAAAAAATTTCCTTTGACTGTTGTCGAAATTCTACCCTTATATTGATATAGCCTTCTCCCAAGCGTGAGATTGCACTTCAATTCCGCCTTATCCCTATCTGTAATCCTTGTTTTAGGTTGTGCAACTTTGATAACTACGGGTATCATTTTCGTGCTCGTATAACATATTTATGGTATGCTTCGGAGAACTTGTGGTTGGCTTTATGAGATGTCTTGTCCGCTTCAAAGAACTTGTGTCCGGCTTTATGAAATTATGGTCTGCTTCACCGAACTTGTAGTCGACTTTATGAGGTTTCTGGTATGCTTCGGGGAATTTTTTGTTGGCTTTATAAGGTTTCTGTTATGCTTTAGGGAACTTGTGGTCGGCTTTATTATGTTTCTGGTTAGCTTCATGAAACTTATGGTCGGCTTTATGAGGTTTCTAGTATGCTTCAGGGAACTTGTGGTCGGCTTTATGAGGTTTTTAATATGCTTCAAGGAACTTGTGGTTGACAGTATATGATACCAATGGTATGATGTTGATATAATAGTGGTATACTATTGGTATGATGTTGGTATAATAGTGATATGATATTGGTATGAGAACTTACGTTTGACAAAATAATTTGATGACATAATATCACTATCATATCATAATATTATCACTATCGTAACATGATATGACACTGATATGATGTTGGTATGTGGTCTTATGCTTGACAAAACATAACAAAATGGATACCACTGCGTAGATCTCAATCTTTCCGGATTCGCTCCGCCTTACAGCCTTGCTTCCCATTGTAATTGTCATTGTAGCACGTGTGTGGCCCAGCCCATAAGGGCCATGCGGACTTGACGTCAAAGGATAGGAGGAGCATTTTTCCTTCCTTAGTGAAGGTACGAAGTGACTCGACTCTAAAGGAGAGGAAGGAGGCATGAAAATCGTCCCTGTAGAAGAAGATCGAGGTACGTAGTTCTCGACCGTTAGTCCGAGGGAAGAGAAGAAATGGGCGGTGTGTACGGGCGACTTGGTTGTGTTCCCCAATGCTGGGCTACCCTGTAATGTGGAGATATGCATGGACGAGATTTAGATTTGAAATGGAAAACTGAATCCTCCTGGTCTAATGGGCAAGCTGGGGCAACCAATAAAAAAATTTGGAAGGGCAAGAAGTGGCTGGGAGGTAGGAAGTCGACCTTTCACAAGAGGACCGGTGCCCCGTTTGTGGAGATGATAAGGAGACAACGACGCATGTATTTAGAGACTGCCCATTTTCAAGGGAATTATGGTCAACCTAGTTGCGAGTTTACCTTGTTAAAACCATCGCTATTCCTTTCCTCCACCGAGAAAGGTTCATTCCGAATCACAAGAGCAATCTCTCTTTTTTCTTTTCGTTATGATAATGCAATGCAAGAGGTCGGAAATAAAGTAGTTTCTGATGATGAAAAGAGCTTTTTTATGTTATGTGAAATTGATGTTCCATGCACAAAGTGAAGAGATACGGTGAGAGGGGGCAGCCCTGACGGAGCCACCTAGTAGGGGAGAACGCATCTGATAGGCCGCCATTCCACTGGATCCGCATCGTCGTCGAAGTGATGCACTGCATGGTAAGTTCAATGAACTCTTGTGGTTCTTCCAATTGAGAAGATAGGATAAGAAAGTGGTGGTAGATCTGCCTGTCTCCATGGAATGAATAAATAGAATTCTCCGGATGTTCTTCATCTTTTGTCCCGTAAAGTGGTTATTCCAAATGATGCCCGCTGGTTCATTCAATGACCCTACCATGGGCGGAGAAAGCTATTATCTTCAATTGTTAAGTCTAATGGTTGGTCAAGACATGAATGGACGTCAGGACCTGGTTCTCATGACAAACGTTCGCATCAGCCTTTTATGTTTACAGAAAGCTTGAGAAAGGGTTCCGTTGCAGGTCAAGGGATTACAGGTGCATCTAAACAAGGCTTTCGCACTAATGAATGTGCATGCGTCACACGCTCAGCCAAGGAGTCAGTCTTATTTTTTAAATTTAAATTTTAATAAAAGTACAAATAAATAATATAAGTAATAAAGGATTGGTTTCTCCTTGTTGCTTGGTAGTTTCTTCTTCCGCTCCTTTGTTCTGTGGCAAGAAGAAAGGTTGGCTTCAGGGCCATGGGGTCTGGTCTGTGATTGATTCATGGATCGGAGATTGGGTCTGAAGTTTCAAAGGGGAGCTATCCCATTGTAAAGAAAAGGATTCTAACCTGGGCATGCAAGATGTATTCGAGGAAGCGTAAGCTGTGAGACAAAGTAGAATAAACGGACCTAAGCCAACCTTGACAGATAAGGGCAACACGTAGCCATCCATAGCGTAGGGAGACCAAAGAAGGAAAAAACCACTCGACCGATAGGGAGAGGAGAGAAAACCACTCGACCGATAGGGAGAGGAACGAAGGAACGAGCGGAATTCGGGTTGCATCCAAAAAGACCGGGAAAAAAAGTTTTTCGACGATTCTTTTTGCCATCGCCCGAGCGGAATTCGGGTTGCATCCAAAAATCCCGAGAAACAATCATCAAAGGCGGCTTCCCGGGACGGGTTTGGAGATCAGAGAGAGGAAGTAGGCTTTAGAGACTTCGTTCCTCTTGTGCCGGTAGTAGGGAAAGCTGCTGCTGATGGGAAGCAAGGACTGCTTTCGGTCATTCGCTCGTTTCATACCTTTTTCAATTTTTTCTTCTAAGCTGCTTTGAGCATCATTTACTCATTTTGTAATCGCCGAAATTGTACGATGAACCTTTTTGTTCCAGGCGTACGCCCCTTCTCGATAGCCTTAGGAAGAGTGAATAGGCACTGTACAGTTCCGCAGCCGTTTTCATTACCAATTGGAAAATAGACTAGTGGCGACTCTTCTTCTTTTCTTTTTTTGGTAATAGGCTCCCCGTGTTGAGGAATTGAACGAGACGCTGAAGTTGTTCGCTTGCCTCTTATTAATAAAAATCCAGTAAAGTTTACACCACATAAGACTTCCATCCTCATGAAGATTGTGATGATATCAAAGTTATAGATTAGTAAAGTGCTCAGAGTATGGGATCTAAATGAATGTGTTCTTTCTATACTTTTTGTTTTGATTTTTGAGTTGAAATGAAGGAGATGTGTCATCATATCACTGTAATATCATGATGATATGATAGA